TAGACAAATGTACCATCTTGTTATCAGTGTTGGGAACGTTACTTTAAAAAAGTAATTAGTTATAGTTACTGATTACTTTGTCAAAAAAGTAACTCAGTTACTAACTGAGTTACAAGATCATAAAAGTAACTAATTACCAACAAAAGTAACTACTTAGTTACTTTTTTCATTAAAGAATGCAAGAATTACTACAATAGTAAAATATAAATGACTAATGACTGAACATAATAAAATGTATGTCCAAATGTTTTATATAAACCTGAATAATTTAAACAAATACGCACTTAACAGGAGGAACTACTAATAGGAACATTACACTAATCTAGACTATAAAAAGGTCACTGTGTGATATTTAACAAAAACCCAATCAGCTAAAATTTAAAATTGCAAATAGAAACACCTGTAAAGGTTCCCGAGCCTTTAAATCTCAGTCTAGTTAAATTACAGAAAAAAAATGTAATTTTGCACAGTATTCTAATTTTTCCAGCTTCACATAATTGTGTGTTTTTAGCAGCATTTCTGTTGCTGGTAATCTAGTATCGGTTAAATAAATAAATAAATATCCTTTAAAATGACACTAGAAGAGGCACAAGCCTGATGGAGGACTTACATTTACTAACTTGGGTCAGACCCAACCACAGAAGAGCTGAAGTTGGGTGGTAAACACACACAGGTAGTTCTAATAACACCTGAGCTCCATGACGTCTGAGACTGATGCATCAGTGTTACAGCGGGACTAAAGACATGATCAGAAACAGGTTACAGCTGGATGAACTAGGAAGGTAGAAGATCAGGACGTCTGAGCGGTGAACAGGTGAGCGGACCTTCGGGACGTCCCGCTGTCACGCTAAGGGCACGGCTGCAGCAGCGAATCTGCGGGTCTGCAGCCGTAGATATTCATCACGTCTTCCTCGTTCTTCACGGGCCGTGACCCACTTGGATGAAAACATCTGCCTCTTTAGCTCCTGATCAGCTGATGATGACAGCTTCAACACACCGCGCTGCTTAACGCACGCATTTTCTTATCAGTAACAGAAACGATGTTTTGATAAAATAAGACGTAATTAATTAGTTTGCTCGTTACAGAAAGAAATATTTTTTATTAACGTGGTTATTTTAAACTGAGTTATTCCCGTTGTGTCTATAGCAGCAGCGACTGAGACAGTGAGGGTCTCCACCCACCCGGCCAATCATCATCGTGTTTGTAAGCGCGTTACCGACACCTCTCTCCCTGGCTGCAGTTGAAGTGTGGCAGTCGGAAAGCCTCACACTGCTGCTCAACGTTCTACAAGCACATAGTAACGCACAACCTTCCGTCCCCAGTAACGGTAACGGCGTTGCAACGGCGGGAAAAGTAATTAATTAGATTATTCCGTTACCTATAAAAGAACGCCGTTAGAAACGCCGTTATACTTAAACGGCGTTACTCCCAACACTGCTTGTTATTCTTGCATTATGATCCTTCCTGGAGTTTATCCAGTTCAAAGCGCAATGATCAGTCTCAAGGTCAAATTCTTGCCCGAGTAGGTATACGCGGCACGTATGTTTTTTGACACTCTGCACAAGTTTGACAGTAGGTTTTTATGTCTGTATACATGCCTGGCCAATAAAACCGTGAACTGACTCTCATGTACGTTTTGTTTTGTCCCAGGTGTCCTGACCAAGGGATAGTGTGAGCTATATGCATGATCAAAGGTCTACAGCTTAGTGGTACTACCAAACGTGTATTATTCTTATCTTTTAGCAACAAGACCCCCTTATCGATGTAAAAACATTCATCCCAAGCTTGATGACACTGGTTAACATCAGATACCTTTTCAAACACAGATTTTAAAGTCCCATCTTGCTGTTGTAGTTCCCCAATGTTTTCAGGTATTTGCCATCGTTTATCTGCATCAAGCCCTTGTGTGTTATGCCCTGCGACATTTAGCGCCTTTTCAAAACGACGCTGTTGTTTTGACTTTCACTTACCCTTATACCCTCCTTTGCAGAGACTCTCGTCTAGTTCAGCAAAAGGTCGAACCATAGACAGCCCCTGAGCCCTTGTTACCACAGGGCATGAGGCACAGTTGTTTGATTTGGCAACGACATCAGTTTTAATATCTTCCTCCCCTTTTAATAAACCCACCAATATTGGCGGATCCCTTCCTAACAGGAAGGTAAATTTTCTACTACCTCAACCGTTAACAAATATGATTGTCCTTCAATGTTCACATTCAGTTCAGTTTTTGGATAGCTATGTTTATCGCCATGAACACATATGATTTCCGTTAGGTCATTGTAGTCCAAACTATTCACGGGAACCAAATGTTTGCTAACTAGTGAGGTAAAGCTGCCACTGTCCATCAATGCAGTCAGTGATACAGTGCTCACAGTCACAGTTCTAAAAGCTTTTTGCTGTAGGACATCAATGTCACACAGTTCCTTCTCTTGCCGGGGCATATAACATACACCAGACACCTTTGGTTTTCTGAGTGGGCACACTGAAGCCTTACGTCCTGGTTGCTGACAGCAGAAACAAATCAAAATCTTACCGGAGGTAGATGGTACAGTCACAGACTTCTCAGTATCTGTGTGGTGGCCCCCAACGCCCCCGGGTTCTGCTGGATATGGAGGAGTACATCCAAACCTCTCTGAAGGTCGTCTTGTGGGGACGATCGGGTGACCAGACACCACAGACCGTGAAGAGGTTGACCCGCCATTCCGAGCATTCAAGTACTGCCATGCAAGCTTTGCTGCCGTTGCTCAATCTGTTGGTTCATGCTCCTTTACCCACGTCCTCATCTCTGGTGACATGACACAAAGCAGTTTCTCCAGCACGATGGCCTCCCCAATCTCCTCCTTACTCCGCTGCTCAGGCTGAATCCAACGGCGATAAAGGTCCTTCAGTCGATGGTAAGTCTCTGTGGGTGTTTCCCCTGTTGGTATCGTCAGGTGTCGAAACTTTTGGCGATACGTTTCTGGCGTAACATCAAACTTTGCCAACAAAGGCATTTTAAGTTCTTTATAAGAATGGGCCATGTCTTCATCCATGGCAGAGTAAGCCTCTAGTGCTTTACCAGACAGCAGTGGCACCAGTCTACAGGCCCATTCAACCTCCGGCCACTTCCATGTCTTTGCCATCCTCTCAAACCGGACCAAGTAATTCTCAATATCTTCATCTGCCTGATATGGGGGGATCTTAGGTTGTTGGTGGTATATGGCATCCAACCGGGGTGCACCACCACCGCCGTCGGAGACTGGTGTGCTGTCAGTCACCGTGCGACAATGGGGAGCGGGTGTAGATGACCCCACCCCATCGTCACTGGCATCTGACAATGACGTATATATTCTTGATGACTCACCAGACTGTAGCGACACTCTTAGCTGGTGGAGTTCTTGCAGAAAAGCCTCTTCCCTTTCTTGCTGCATCTCCAAAAAGGTCCTCATCATTGTGGCCATGTCTGTAGATGTAGATGAAGGCCCAGGAACAGGATGTGACGGCTTATTGTCTTCCTCTGACTCCTCTGTATCCTATTCAGTCACCTCTTCCGCCTCCTTTAGACGTTGAGACCGGAGCCCGGTCCGGCTGGGTATGCGAGCCACTCTTTGCCACGGATTGCCATCCCACCTCTGCCACCAAATGTCGTGAGGTCTATGATGGCAATAATCAGATCAAACAATGTTGCTCTGTTTCCGTGAGTTTTATTGTGCTCATCGTGCCCACCCTGATGGTTTCGGTGACTTCCCAAAAGCAAAAATGCAAAATGGTGAAAGAAATCCAAAAAATAAAAGCGTTTACTATTTACACGTACACAAAAAGTTTTTAACAGAGCAAACATTTCCACCAAGCAGCTCATTACCCACAGCTGTGTCCAATCAGGAAACTTGCAAGAGCTGGGCTGAAGCTCCTTCCCCTTCAGCAGGCACCAAGTAACTGACATCTAACTAACTCAGACAACCTCCTTATATACCCCAAGCTCCTCCCACAGAGAAGGAAAATGACTAATTATAAGAACGTGCAGCTTACAATGCCACTGACCATAAGAAAATAATTTGAAATAGTAGATTTGTCTTATTTTAAATGGCAAACTCTGTATGAGGATTAACTAAAGATGTAGAGTAACTTATGTTCCTGTTCGTATGGATGGGTGTTTGTACATGTGTCGTGCCTGATCTGACCAACCCCACGTCCTCTCATCATCACAGTCCCTGTTTGTGAAATCACAATTGGGGAAAGTAGAACAGAATCACTTCTCACGTGCATGAGAGAGCTGCTGCTCTATTTTGAGCTCCTCCCAGATGTCACACCTTCTTAGCTTATAGCAGCCTGAGCAGGGGTGGGGTGGGTGTGGCCAGCTCCAGCTTGCATTCCTTAAAGAGCAAGTCAACCCCTACCAGAGTCTAACTCCACTCCCACTTCATGTTTGAAAAATGCAACAAATGCTGTTGCCTGGCAGACTGAGAGGGTGGAGCTGCTAACAAATACACACACACACACAGGCTCACGACAGCATTGTGACATCATAATGTACCAGTTTACATCATAGCATACCTCTTTGCCAATAGCGGTGGCAGATTTAAATTAAAATACAGTGCAGAGTTTTTACCTGACAACGGCACAACACTGCCAGTTTTAGGCAGAATATTTAAATTTTAACTAAGATGCACTGAAGTGCCAAATTATTGACGACACGTGTCTGCAGCACGATTAGACACTCATTTATTTAGTTTATCAGCAAAAAAAAAGTTTATTTGGGGGTGACTTGCTCTTTAAAGCTTCTTTCTGGAGTATTTCTCTTATCCGATGGCACCATCTAGTGGCTGACAAGCATATCACATTCCTTCTGTTTATTTAAGATCATGTTCTGTTTATAAATGTGCTTCTGTAGCCGACAAACAGAGCTAAAACACGTTGTTTTACAAGTATTATTTTCGTGTCATGTAGTGTTCTCATATATTTATATTTTAGAGACTTACTTGTCCATGAAAAGTTCATTAACTCTGCATCAGCTGAGGTATTCCTTAAATTTGAAGCAAGTAAGCGGTAGTTTACCTATTAGGGTTAGGGTGTCACACCTGTCCTGTCTCCCCACTCTGTTCAGTCCTGTGTCTCCTGATTACTCCCACCTGCCTCTCATTTTCCAATCACCCAAGCTCCCAGCTCCTCATGTATTTAAACCCTCTCAGTTCTGTGTCTTGTCGGTTCATTGTTTCCTTGTCCTCCGTGCTCATGATTAAAACCCCTTTAATGTTCCTGTCCGCCTGCTTCTTCCCCAGCATGTGGATCCTCACCTCCAGCTCAACTTACCTGCGCGTGTGACAGAATGAACCGACCTCCTGAAGGATCCAGCGGGGAAGTCCTGCCCTGGGATCCCCTCCACCCTTTGGGAGCCAGATGGGAGGTTGGGCTGGGAGCCGCAGCTGGACCACTCTGGCCTTGTGGGCACCAGACTGGCTGTGTGCTCCCTGGAGTTGGTCCCCGGCACTGGGAGAGAACCCAGGCCTCACCGTCACCTCCAGCCCAGGAGCTGCGCCGCAGGCATACCGCGGCTCTGGCTGACGTCGCCCCCGGCTGCATGGTCTCCTCCCACTCCAGGGGGACCATGAGAGGGACCAAACCAGCGGTCCACCTGGCGGAGTTTGCCCTTCTCCAGGCTGAGCTGGTCTGGCTGAAAAATCTTATCAGCCTCTGGGAGTTCCAGATTGAGGAATTTACCACCCTGATTCTCCAGGCCACCTCACCAGCTCAGTCCGAGCTTTGGCTGCCCTCTGGGAGCGGCACCACTCCTACCAAGTCAGCAGCACCACTCCTGCCAAGTCAGTGGCTCTGCCTCCTGCCAAGACAGCGGCCCCACCTGCAGTGGTCCCGCCTGCAGCGGCCCCGCCTGCAGCCAAGTCAGCGGCACCATTACCATTCCGGTCAGTGGCACCGCCACCAGTCCGGTCAGCAGCAGCGCCACCAGTCCAGTCAGCGGCCCAGCCTGTCCAAGAGGCTCCGCCCCAGGCCCAGCCTGTCCAAGAGGCTCTGCCTGCAGCGGCTCTGCCTCCAGTCCAGTTGGCGGGCCCTCCTGCAGCGGCTCTGCCTCCAGTCCAGTCGGCAGCCTCTCCTGCAGCTGCTCTGCCCCAGTCCAATTGGCGGCCCCTCCTGCAGCAGCTCTGCCTCCAGTCCAGTCGGCGGCTCCGCCTGCAGGGGCCCCGCCTCCAGTCAAGTCAGCGCCAGGTCCAGCGCCTCACGTCAAGTCGGCACCAGGTCCAGCGCCTCACGTCAAGTCTGCGCCAGGTCCTGCGCCTCAAGTCAAGTTGGCGGCCCCTCCTGCAGCGCCTCAGCCTCAAGTCAAGTCGGCGGCCCCTCCTGCAGCGCCTCCGCCTCAAGTCAAGTCGGCGGCCCCTCCTGCAGCGCCTCTGCCTCAAGTCAAGTTGGCGGCCCCTCCTGCAGCGCCTACGCCTCCATTCAAGTTGGCGGCCCCTCCTGCAATCCAGTCGGCGGTCCCACCTTCGGGGATCCTGGTTGCGACGGTCCCGCCTCCGGGCAAGTCAGCGCCTTTGGCACCTCCGCTCCAGGCAGCTCCTCTTCCGTCAACTCCTCTCCAGTCGGCGCCTTCAGTGCCTCCATTCCAGTCAACTCCTCTACTCCGTCCAGCTCCTCTCCAGTCAACTCCTCCACTCCGGCCGGCGCCTTCAGCACCTCAATTCCAGTTGGCGCCCATCGCCTCTTGTGCCCTAGACGTCGGCGCCCAACGCCTCCTGTGCCCCAGACGCCTGCCCCCTAGACTCCGGCACCGCTTCCTGTGCCACAGACGCCTGCCCCCTAGACTCCGGCACCGCATCCTGTGCCAGAGACGCTGGCCCCCCAGACTCAGGCGCCGCCTCCTGTGCCCCAGACGCCTGCCCCCTAGTCTCAGGTGCCGCCTCCTGTGCCCCAGACACCGGCCCCCCAGACTCCGGTGCCACCTCCTGTGCCCCAGACGCCGGCCCCCCCAGACTCCAGCGCCGCCACCTTTGCCCCAGACGCCAGCCCCCCAGACTCTGGCGTCATCTCCTGTGCCCCAGACTCCGGGCCCCCAGACTCTGGCGTCATCTCCTGTGCCCCAGAGCCCCCCCCACCCCCCCACCCCCGACTCCGGGGCTCTGTGCTGTGCCCCAGACACCGGCCCCCCAGACTCTGGTGCCATCTTCTGTGCCCCAGATGCCGGCCCCCCGGACTCTGTCTCAGCCTGCGTTGGGCGTCCGGTGCCGGCCTTTGGGGGGGGTACTGTCACACCTGTCCCGTCTCCCCACTCTGTTCAGTCCTGTGTCTCCTGATTACTCCCACCTGCCTCTCATTTTCCAAATACCCAAGCTCCCAGCTCCTCGTGTATTTAAACTCTCTCAGTTCTGTGTGTCTTGTCAGTTCATTGTTTCCTTGTCCTGCATGCTCACGATTAAAACCCTTTCAATGTTTCTGTCTGCCTGCCTGCCTGCTTCTTCCCCAGCGTGTGGATCCTCACCTCCGGCTCAACGTACCTGCACGTGTGACATTGGGTTAGGGTATCAAAAAAAGAGATGTATTGCTTACATTGTATCACAGTACATGATAAGATAATCACTTTTATGGATTTCTGGCAAATCGTACATCATTTCGGAAAGGGGAAAACTCTGGAAAGCTGCTTTAAAGTGTCAAAGTTGTATAATGTTATAACTTAAGAAAAATGCCATAATGTGTCTTCTTTAAATTCACCAACCAATTGAAAATATAATAAACTATAGAAGCTGTTTTAGCTATGGACCTCAGTACATCCTGCCCCATCCCTGCAAATCCCTCTGAGTCTTTGCCATCTATTTTATAAAAGTGGCTCTGGTGTGGAAGAGGAAATCCAAATGGAGAAAAGCTCTTCAATAAGACAAGTGGAGAGAAGCCAGCGGGGAGCTGGGTCACAGAGGCCATGTGAAGGCAAGGGAGAGGAGGAAAACTAAAACATCAGACGAATTAGAGATGGAGCTGCAGAAGGGAGGGTGTGGGTGTGTAAGAAAGTCACACACACTGGTTTCTTACACTCACATACACACACACATACACACAAACATCAACACACTAGAAGAGGGGTTGTAGCGCATAGAAATAGCAAGCTGGCTTTCTGCCAGCAACACCAGAGCAGCTACAGCTCTTCTAGCTGATAAGCTGGACTGAAACATAAAATGGGCAGATTGTCAGTGAATACTGTGGTAGAGATGGTTTTAGTGCATTACTTCAAATTGTCATCAAATACTGGATTTTCTGACAAGGAAAACTCACATCAATGCCTTGAGTACAAGCTAAAATACTCTTCACTTATGCTTCCAAACCACAAACGTCCAAAACATCAGAAACAGTTTGGAGTTAGTTTAGAAAGACCGTGTCATATTAGTGGTCATCATCATCACATTTTCTAAAGGAAGCTTGTGCTTAGGGTTTCATACAGTGTAAACTCTAAAAAAAGACATAAAGTGGCTGGATGAGGACCATCTCCTTAAGGCAAAATGACTGAAAAAAGTTAACTTTTTTGTAAATGTTCACAAAGAAGGAAAGCCTGTTGTCCCAGTGGCCAAAGTGTTAACTTATCTCTAATTCATTTTCAAAGTGCTTTGAGTCGTCTGCTGTCCCTAAGGACCACACCCTGCTCAACGCTGGACGTTTTGGTTTGGCACTGTGGCAGATCAAGGATTTTTCTAAGGATGGGGGCATAAAGGATCCACAATATTTACAGAGGGGCCAAGTGTTACTTGAACATTCTTACACAAGAATTCACATTGGAAATTCCTATTTTGCCCACTAGCACCATTAGTGTTTAAATTTGGAATTGTATCCACCTACTACAGCCTGATCATTGTGCAAAGTAGAGATGCGTGACAGGACAGGGCCACTTCAGAGGGGCAATCAGATTTCATTAGGGGCCAAAGCCCCTGTGTCCCCACCCCTAGAGCCACCAACGGTTTGACAGACAGTATTCCATAAGGTAAGAGATGTGTACAATGCATACATCCTACTGCGGCTTTCTCTCTCATCATCTCGTCCACAGCCTGTCCTTATGCAATTCAGTGTCCTCACTCAACTCTGCCAATGTCAGCTATAAATAGCAGCCTGGCCCTTTGCGCTCACAGCTCACACAGCATTAATAAAGCCTGGAAGCCTGTTCTGCATGAGAATGATTCTCAGTTGGGGACAGCTTGTTCAAAGATTTGTCATTGATTGGCTGATTCGGTCCTTGTGGTCTAATTAATCAAATAACTGTCAGAAGTAGAGATTAAATCTGAGCATAAGGCTTCATTAAATAATTCAGTAAGAGAAAAAGGTAAATCTCAGTTCAAATGTTCTCACTAAGCTTTGTTTAAGTATATTTTAACTGAGCTTGAACAGAGCTCGAGTGTAGCCAGAGTTTTCTTTTCATCTCTAAAAATCTGTCTGAAGTGCCTCTCCATATTTTCTTCAGAGGTATCTATTATCTCTGCTCACTGGCCATGCTGAGTTCACCTCTCCTTTCAGCTTGATTCTCAGTTGGATACAGTCTGGGGGTGGGAGGAAGTAGCAGATGAGGAAAGGGAGAGGGGAGCAATGGGTGTTCTTTGGACACTGGTGGTGTGTTAAGTGAACACTGACTATGTTAGGTTCAGTATTTGGCAGCACATCATTTTTTATTTGATAGGGCCTATGGTTAAAATCTGATGTTAGCACAGTCGGTAAAGACGGCTCTCCCTTGCCCTGCCTCCAACATGCCTCCATCTAAAAAGGCTAGGTTATCCAGAGTTATCTCTGTAGTTATGCTGCTATAGCCTTAGACTGATGGAGGACACACTGACCACTTTTCACACTCGACTACTTTCTTCTATAATCTGCTCTTTAAATGGTAAATGGCCTGTATTTGATATAGCGCCTTCTAGAGTCCTAGAACCCCCCAAGGCGCTTTACAACACAATCAGTGATTCACCCATTCACACACACATTCACACACTGGTGGGGATGAGCTACAATGTAGCCACAGCTGCCGTGGGACGCACTGACAGAGGCGAGGCTGCCGAGCACTGGCGCCACCAGTCCCTCCGACCACCACCAGCAGGCAACGTGGGTTAAGTGCCTTGCCCAAGGACACAACGACAGCGACAGACTGAGCGGGACTCGAACCAGCAACCTTCCGATTACGGGGCGAGCTCTTAACTCCTGTGCCACCGTCGCCCCCCTTGATGAAGGAGCTATTCCACCGAAGGTTATTCACCCTCTCTCCACAGATGCCTCTGACACAGTACTAAGCTGCATGAGACTGCCTCAAGGTCATGCATTTGCTTCTAAACTGCTTTCTTTCCAGCTCAAGAGAAGAATGAAGATAAAGGACTCTTTCCTTTTAATAAATCAAAGAACTCTATTTTTAATAAAGCTAATCAAACAACGTGTTAGTCAATAATATAATGTTGACCAATCTGTGAAATGACAATGTTATGATTAATATGCTTTAATAAGTAATATGACTTTAATCTAGCTGCGCTAGACATTCTGACTACACGTAATGTAAACGCATGACACATTGTTCACTCATCCAATCAGAACCTTCCTTTCTGAAGCGTGGCATAGTCTCTGTGGTGTTTATAAATCTGCCAGCTTTGATTCAACCAGAAATCAAAACATCCAGACTAATAAAACCAGTTCCCACGCCATCTTAAGTCCAGTTCTCTGAGTTCACTGCATGCTAAGAGGAAGAAGAAGAAGAAAATATCATTTCTATAGCGCCTCTCAAGATAAAAATCACGAGGCGCTTCACAAAAACAAAAACAAAAAATGAATAAATAAAAATGTAAAAATATAAAAAAGCATTTAGAAAATGTTTAAAAATATATTTAATATGAACAAAAATAAGCAATTGCGATTTAAAAGAAAAAATGTTAAGAAAGAGAGAGAGTGAACAGGAAAGAAGGAAATCAGTGGATCCTGAGGAAGGTGGAATAGGTGGAGAGAGCAGAATAAAGAGAGAGTGGTGAAGAAGGTCATACAAAAGCCAGCTTGAACAAGTGAGTCTTCAGCTGCTTTTTGAAGGAGACCACTGAGTCCACACTGCCACATCTTCCCCACTCTTTCCACAAACACATCCTCCTGCACAGGGTGCCACAAACTTCAAATCCATGGACCTACTTGACAGTACTACATGGATCCTGCCAACAACACCAAATAAGTAAGTTGGAGAAACGAGGGGCTGGGTGGGATTCGATCCCCAGACTCCCGGGTGAGAGTTGTGCACGCTAACCAGTCAGCCAAAGGGACATCTCCTTGGCCAAGTAGCCACGGCACATGATCAATCGGGACACTCAGTGACTACGTTTACATGCAGCCAATATCCGGGTTATGATCGGTTTAAGGTCGGCATTCGGGTTTCTGACTTGATCAGAATAACCCGTTTACAAGCATAAATAGAAAGAGTTACCTCTAACTTGCATAACCCGATTTAAATGCGGACGTTGGGGTAGCGTCAGGACGTATGGACTACGTCCAGACGCAATATGCGTCATTTCCGGTTCTTCTTGTTCCGGTATCCGTGAAAACAACAACATGTTTCCCAGTTCGGAAGAGATAGCGACCGCGTTTGTTTGCGCTTTAGTTTCCTCGTCACTCCAAAAGTGTGGTGCTGTGCCGCGACTCGCCATGTTGCTCCCAACTTGTTGTTTACTTCCGGTGTTCTGGCGCGTACAAGACGTCTCTCTACTCAAAAGACCAAGATTGCTTGCGAACAGAGCATGCGCAGAACACACGCTTTGATGGGGATATCCCGATATGCGTTTACACGACCAAACATTCGGGTTAGAAAAGGGTTACCCCAGGTGTAGTAACCGGGATTTTGGCGGTGTTTACATCGACCTGTGGAACCGGGTTATTGTGAATATTCGGGTTTTAAAAGGGTTACTGGCTGCATGTAAACGCACTCACCGTAGAACTAAAATGCTATTTGTGACCGCAGATGCTTCTGTGCCATTTAAAAAGATTAACCCATAAGTTCACTCTGAATGTATGAACTTGACAAAAATGTGGACAAATAGCACATTCTGAACCTCATAGTTACAAACGTGAATAATTGAACACCCAGCATCAGAGATTGAACTATATACCGAGATCAACAGGAGTCTGTAAATTAATCAGGATACGATGCTTTCCACCTTCAATTGATAATTCCAAGAAAAAGGCGACTGAATATTTTTATTGTGTATTTTGACATTCAGTTGATTAATATTTTATACAGTAAATATCAAGAAATCTAATGTTGATCTTCACACACACACACACACACACACACACACACACACACACACACACACACACACACACACACACACACACACACACACACACACACACACACACACACACAGTATATAGCTTTTTGCTTTGCACTACAGAGTACTTTAGTCAAGGAGAAACACTGCCTCATCGCCGCTGGTCTTCCAGGCAACAACTCAGGTTTCCAAGGGTAACAAATCACCGAAGCCCATTGGAGGGAAGACGAGGGGCTCCCTGCAGCATTCCCATGGCAACCAGCTCTGAGGTTTCTGAGAAATAATGGCAGTTTTTTTATAACTCTGTAACACAAGGCACACCCCCACTGACTCCTCACTCTGTAGACCCTTCCTGACTGTAAAACAGCAGCGTTTTATGTCTGCGTTCAGCTGACAAAAGAAATCTACACGTACTCCTGGTGGATGATGGGGTCATAGCCCACAACCTGATGACTTCATAACAAAATGGAAAATAATTTATTAAGAAAATGTGACAACAAATCAGAGAAGTCAGAAAGATTATCTAGCAGGCAGTTGGAAAATCTATGTTAGTGCAAACGTTTTAAGCCACTGCTTGTTTGGTTTTTGTTGTTTTTTAGCAGAAGCAAGACT